GACCGTACACAGGAACAGCTGTGCCTGCTGGTAACTCCTCAGGAAGTCTGTCTTTCCCCTCTGACAGGTGGGAGGGGAGGGGAGGGGCAGGGAACTCCAGATCCCGCAGCAGAGATGGGGGTGGCTCTCCCACCTGGCCAGGAACCTTCCCAGTTTGCAGTGTGCTTTGCTGCTGGGTCGCACAACGGACCCTGCCGAGTGGGAGTGTGTGCAAGGATCCCAGGGCAGCACGGCTGGATGGGACTCTGGGATCTACACGCTGTTCTAGGCACCATGGGGATATTAATGAGCCGGAGGGAGTTTGACGAACAGAAATGATCCAGGAGGGGGCTGAGAGTAAAGGGACCCTGCCTTACTTCCAGCCTTCCTGCTCTAACCTCTAGACCCCACTCCCTTCCTAGAGGTGGGGCAGAACCCAGGCCTCCTGACCCACAGCCCCCTCTGCCAGCCATACTACTCCAGTCCTTCCCTATAGCTGGGAACAGAACCCAGGCATGCGGGCTCCCAACAGCCCCTGTGCTCTCTGCAGAGCTTGGCTCAGCTGTGGGGAAGGTGTACAGGGGACCGGGGAGCTGGCTGCACATACAGGAAGGATATCACTGCAAAGGGGCCGGGACTTAGTTTGGAGGACACATGGATGTAAGCTGCAATGGAAGGGAGTCAATGGATGGTTAATGGGGGCCACTAGAGGCTGGGGTATGTTTTTGTGGGGCCCTGGGCAAGGGGGGGGCAAGGGCAGAAGAGGCAGGTCTGGGGACTAGGTGACTTAAAAGGGCCCAGGGCTTTGGCCACTGCTGCTGCCGCAGTAGTAGCAGCTGCGGCCCAGAGCTCTGGGCCCTAGGGCACCAGCCCCTTTCCTCCTACCCTGCCCCGGCAGCCCTGCATGCAGAGTAGGGGGCGCAAGAAGCAGGGAAGCCCCGTTGCAGGAAGGCGCAGACCTAGGGTGTGCCGGTTCCAGGGCGGGTGGGCGCTAGAAGCCCTAGGACCCAAGACACACTGCCAGTACCGAGCTCAGTGCCATCTCCAGAGCGCCGGGCGTCCCCCGAGCCCTCGCCGTTCTCCCCAGAGCCCAGGAAGTCAAATTCATTCAAGGCGTCCTCCGAGTCTTCGTCGTCGTCCTCGTCTTCCACCTCCGGCATCAGGGGCTTCGTGGCAAGCTGGCAACACAGACAGGAGGGAGTTAGCTTAGGGAGGGGGCACCAAGCTTAGCCTGCTCCCGCAGCCCAGCGAGACAAGGCAAAGACACCAGCCCACAGGACTGACCAACTCAGACCTGGGGTGGGGGTCCAGGGAGACTGTTCAATCCGGGCGGGCTATGGGATGAAGATACAATACACGAGAACGGCCCTACTGGGCCAGACCAAAGGTCCATCTAGCTCAGTGTCCAGACTGCAGACAGTGGCCAATATCAGATGCCCCAGAGGGAGTGAACAGAACAGGGAATCATCAAGTGATCCGTCCCCCATCATTCACTTCCAGCTTGTGGCAAACAGAAGCTAGGGATACCATCCCTGGACCCATCCTCCGTAAATGTATTGAGTTCTTCTTTGAACCCTGTTATAGTCTTGGCCTTCACAATATCCTCTGGCAAGGAGTTCCACAGGTTGACTGTGCATTGGGTGAAGAAATACTTCCTCTTGTTTGTTTTAAACCTGCTGCCTATTAATTTCATTTGGTGACCCTAGTTCTTGTGTTAAAAAAAAAAAGAGGAGTAAACAGCATTTCCTTATCCTTTCTCTGCATCAGTCATGATTTTATAGACCTCAATCTGAGTCGTATCTTCCCCAAGCTGAAAAGTCCCAGTCTTATTTCTCTCTCCTCATATGGCAGCCGTTCCATTCGCTCATTTTTGTTGCTCCTTTCTGAGCCTTTTCCAATTCCTATATCTATTTTAGAGATGGGCCGATGGCATCTGCATGCAGCATTCACGTGGCCAGGGAAAGCCGCAGTCGCGCGGCCGCAGTCACTAAAAGGGGCACTGTTCTACACAAGGCAGCCTAGGACCACAGCTGCTCACACGCATGAACGCGGCACAGGATTTTGTGCATATGTGGTAGGACACACCCCATTACCCCGCCCCCAGATGTAGCAGCAGGCCCCTCTCGCCGTGGGACAGGCTGGAGTTGGGAGCATGAAATCATTTCAGGTCTCCCAGTGTTACGGCAGCCAGGGTCTCATTGGAAGCCAGAGATACTTGATGGATAGAAGAGGACCAAAGAACCCTGCAAAAAAAACCCACCATTTCCCCAGTGGGTCTGTGGGGAGAACACGGAGACTGCGACCTGGAGTCCTGATTCCTGGCTATCTCGACCTCTGGGATTGCAGCGTGCGTAGTGGTTAGAGCAAAGGGTGCTGCTGGGAATCCGGACTCCTGGGTTCTGAGTGGGGACGCTACTTCCCTGCTCTGGGCCTCACGTGCCCCATCTGTAATGCTGGGGCACTCCGGAGTGTGAGGGTTAATGAAAGCACTTTGAGAACCTCCAAGGAAAATGCTAGAGGAAGGCCAGCAATCATCCTTGCTAGCGCTTTCGCCTTGAGCGCAGGGGGGACCTTCCCACCCGGCTGCCAAAGCAAACCCAGGAACAACAGGTTTCTTACCAAGCACTTTCCAAAGAGGGGAGCATATTAATCTCGTTAGTCAAGAGGGGAAACTGAGGCATGGGACTGGCCTGGCCTGCAGCAAAGCAGGAAGTAGTAAAGCAGGAAACAGAACCCAGGAGTCCGGACCCCTTGTTCTAACCAATCCACAACACTCTCCTTCCAGAGAGGAGATAGAATCCAGGAGTCCTGATGTCTGGCTCCAGCTTTCAGAAACCTATTGGGAATGGTTCTTAGAGTGGCCTAGGACTCCTTAATGCCTAAAACGTGATGTTTTTCCAGCCTCGTGAGACCTGCCTTTACTCGCTGTTTCTTGTGCTGCCGCTGGGTCTCAAGAGGAAGGCCCTCCTGATCCTCCTCTTCATCACTGTCCTCATCCTCGCAGTTCTGGAGGAAGGGGATTTTGTCGATCACCGAGCTGCTCATCCGGTCCTTCGTCTCCTTCCCAGCGTTCCTGCCAGAGGGAGAATAGGTAGCAGGTTTGAAACAAACAAAAGGAAGTACGACTTTGTGCAACACACGGCAACCTGTGGAACTCCTTGCCAGGGGATGTGGTGAAGGCCAGGACTTTAATAGGGTTCAAAGGAGAGCTAGATAGATTCATGGAGGTGAGGTCCATCAATGGCTATCAGCCAGGATGGGTAGGAATGGGTTTCTTAGCCGCTATTTGTCAGAAGCTGGGAATGAGCGATGGGATGAATCACTTGATTCCCTGTTCTGTTCATTCCCTCTGGGGGCATCTGGCATTGGCCGCTGTGGGAAGACAGGACACTGGGCTAGATGGACATTTGCTCTGGCCGTTCTTATGTTCTCATGATACCAGGCCAGCACTAGGGAGCAGCCCTTTGACCCAGCATGGCCCACTGGGCAGAGGGAAAGAAGAGCAGCTGCCTGGCAGGAGCTGGGGAGAAGGGCTACAGACCTCCGTTTCAAGGCACGAGCTGAGTCCTAACTGATTGGGGCTGGGAAGAAACGTCCCCCATGGGTGGGTATCGCCACATTGTCTCCTGTCGCACCGTCCTCAAGCAGCTGGGACCAGCCTCCGAGGACCCTGCTCTGCTCCTGTGCTAGAAGATTTCCATGCCCAGAGGTCCCTTCCATGGGGCCCTGCGGCTGGACATGCCGCATTCAGCAGTGAACAGCTGCACATCCCACTGGGGATGGGACACAACACGCAGCAAAACCCCCCAGGGGGGCAGCTCCCCCACAGCAGGCCGACACCAAGCAAAGCACCCTCCAGGCAGCACCCCTCCTACTGAGCAGCATTAGAGCCAAGACCCCTCTCTGCAGCAGGGATATTCCCTCCACTTGGAGCATCACTCCCCCCCCGACCTGCCAGGCTGTGGGTTGAACGCGTCCAGCAGAAACGCTGCTCCCCCACCAACCAGAACCACCCCTCATCTAACAGACCGGCCCCAGGTGAGATACCCCTGCCACCAGCCAGCTCCCCCGCCATGCAGCTGCCCTATGGGACAAGCCGAGCGCAGAGGGGCACAGCTGCCGATACGGCTCAGGAGTAGGTATGGAAGCACGGTGCCCTGTGCAGAACACCAAGATGTTTGGACAGGACTGCGGGCTGCCTGCTCACCTTTTAATCTGTTCCTCGATCTGTCTGACAAGTAAGGACTCTCCCCCACTCAGCCCAGCGGGCCCCGGGGCAGGGCTCGGCCCCACGGCGCTAGGCTCCACGGCGCCGTTCAGCTCCACGGAGCAACGGCCCAGCAGGGAGCGCACTCGCTTGGAGCGCATGTCCAGGATGGTGTCTGTGTAGCCCACTTCTTCCAGGTACCTGCGGGCGGGAAAGGCGAGCTGAGCGCTAGGGCCAAGAATGAGAACACTCCGTCTGTGGCTCTCCGTGCACTGCAGAGACACGGCAAGTCAGCGGTCGCTCCGGAGCCGGACACAGCAGGGAAAAGGGACTCCTCCGAGTCAGCACAACAGACCCATGAACTTGCCCCTCGTGGCCCTTTGTTCTCCCTCTTTGCCAAGAAGGCTGCACAGACTTAGGGAGACATGGGGGAGACCCAGGCAGATCCCCACGGAGTCTCTCTGGAAGAGGGTGCAGCCTGAGACAACTCTCCCCCTGCCAACGGAGTTTTCCCCTCACCCAGCGGTGGCTCTCCCAGCCACCGGACAGATGCCCCATTGAAGGAACGTAGCAGCAGAGAAGAAGAGCGGGCCTGCGGGTAAGGCACAGGGCTGGGAGTCGGGAGAATTGGGATCTACCCCCTCAGCTCGGCCACAGGCTTGTTGGGTCACCTCAGGCACATCGCTTGTGCTCCGTATCTCAGTTCAATCCTGGCCATACGGGGATCTTGCTTCTGGGGGGAGGTCCAGATGAAGCCCGAACTTACCGCCCAAGCTACGTGCGCAGCAATTCCTCACCTGCAAAGGGAGTGTTTGCTGCTCTGCCAGGACACAGCCACACTCCTGAGATGCGCCTGCACCAACCCCGCAAACTGGGAAACTTTGACTCTCGAGGGACTAGGGCTAGAATTATGGTTTAGACCAGGTGAGATCAAACCAAGAGGGGTCCTCCCCTCAGGCATTGTTTTCAGCTTGCTGCAGAACTGTGCCCCATGCCCTGGAAGCTGCAGAGGCAGCATCCAAAAGCCTTTAGAGCTGATAGAGTTAGTGTCAAGGTCTTTGGGCAGAAACACCAGGGAGCCCAGAGTCCGGGCAGGGCATTTTTGCATCCTTGTGTATTTCAGAGATCTAAAACCACAAAACTGTAAGCTGAGTGGCACCAAAGAGGAATTATCAGTAGCTAGAAGAAGAGCTCAGAGGCTTGCAAACTGTCCCTTTCATCTCAGCGCACGTGTTAACTCTGGAACCTAGTGATGTCACAGAAAATGCTAACGTCAATTGTTTCTTTGCTCAGAATGTTCTGTACCTCCACTGGAGCTGGATAGGTCCAATGGTAGCTAACTACTGGGGAGAAGTATGAGGGTGTTCAATACTCCCCTTCCCAAATTTAAAGACATCTGTACAAAAGGGGGTGAAAAAGGAGATGCAACGCCTCCCTAGAGCCCTAAGCCTTCCCCGGAGCACCCTGCTTTATTCCACAAAGCTGCTGCATGTTAGCTAGATCAATGCTAGCTCAAGAAACCATAGCAGCGTAGCTGCAGTAGAACAGGCAACTGCACGGGCCAGCCCTGCCCCCGGGCCCCTGTGTACATACTGGACCCCTCCCCGGGATACACCCCCCCCTGCAGAGGTCTGTCATACTCACTGCCGGAGCAGCTGGCGCCCTTCTTTCCACACCAGTGGGTTGCTTTCCAGTGAAGACGTTTCCGCTGGGCCATTGGAAACTGAGAGGAAGGCAAAGAAAGGATGTTGCGAACACACCATGGAGACCCCATTCAGGCTTCGGCACCAGCTTTTCAGTAAACCACCTACAGCTTCGGACCAGCCTCAAACCCAAGGCCTTGCCTGTTGGTGCTAGATTAACACCATGGAAATAATCTATCCCTGAGGGCAAGAGCCCCTGGCATCCCACACCCTCGCTATACATAGCCACAGGCAGCATGTCTGTGTCCGTTAGCAGGGGACTGGGCAGAACCCATAGGGCCTGAGGGCAGGAGAGGACTCGCATGGTACAATACCTGGCTCTGACGGATCCGCTCTCTTCTCCCCTTGGTTCGGCTCTGTTCCAAACTTCAGCTTGTGGTATTTTGACCTTGAGTGAATGTGGAAAATTTAAGTTTGACATGAAGCTAAAGCAACTGAAGCAATGTATGATTCCCATATTATAGAGGGGAAACCGAGGCACAAAGAAGTGAAGCAATACAGGGGGTCATACAGGGAGTGTGATCTAACCACTCCTCAGAGTGCAGACCAGTACCCAAGAGTCCTGACCAATGTTCCCTCTATTTGTTTCCATCCGTGTGCAGAATAAATGTTATGTGCACCAAGGCATGTGCGAATGGGCACCACCAGTAGAATCACATGCTGCCGGCTGTGCGTGCTCTGCTAATCAGCTGGACAGCACCTGAACCTTTCCTGAGTGGCCACCCAAGCGCTCAGCTTACAGGGAACACTGGCCCTGACCCCTTGTGCACTACTTCTCTAACCACCGGGCAACACTTCCCCTCAAATCTTGGACTTGAACTCAGGAGTCAATGTGCTTCTCATCTAAACACTGGTCCAGCTTTCCCATCTGGACCAGGGCCAGAATCAGATCCTTACCACAGTTTGGCCTCTTTGTGATTCCCTAGGAGCCAGTGACCCCCTGTGGCAGGAGGGTGAGGGGTGAACTTGGACCCATCACCATTTGGAAACTCTTGCAGGTGGGCTCATGAAACAGCAGTAGCAGTAGGTTTCGAGGCATCACACCCAACGGTTGAGCCTTTCACACCCTAACTCTGAGGGCCTCACAGGCTACAAGATCCTCTCCGAAAGCCAAGGCCTCCCTGCACCTGTTCTGATGCTGCAGAAAATGAAGCTGGAGTCTGCCCAGCTGGGGGTGTTTCCAAGGACCCCCAAAAACGTGGGGAGTGACCAGCCCATGCCCCAAAGCCACAGCCCTCCAGGGCGTTCCTACCTTACCTCTCTTGCTTCAAGGCATACTCCAACATCTTTATCCTGCGCACAAGGTCTGTCTTGAGGTTCTCCTGGCCCTTCCTCTCTCCCTGCAGAAATGCCACTTGTGCCTGTAGGAAAAGAACCAAACCCAAGGTCACCCTGGTCCCATAAGGGTTTGGAGCACAGGTTGTGGCTCAAATCCATGCTGTCCTCACCCCCCGTCTGCCTTAATGTGCTTGGAGATCCCCATATGGGAAAGGCTAGAAATTAGTAAAGGATGGTTATTTTTTACTTATTCCAGCAGCACCCCAAAGCAGTGCCAGTTATACCAACCCCGCTGCCTACATACGCCACTAACGTACCCGTCAGCCCAGGGCAAAGGCGCTAACTTATCCGGCCACTTTCATCCAAGGATCTGACAGCAAATCGCCCCCATAACACAGGGATCCGGGAAAAGGCAGAGCTGTTATTCTCCATTGTACAGATATCTCAAACGGTGCAGTGACCTGCCCAGAATCCCACATAGAAAAGAAGGAGCAGAGTCTCAGATTGAAAACTGAGTTTGCATTCTCACTCCCCCCGGGCTGCTCTAACCACTAGCCCCCACTCGGGTCTGTTCTATACAAGGGTTTGACAGTGCTTATCACCATAGTATCAGTGTGCCTTCCAGCAGTGCACCATGACTTCACATCCATCGCGTGCTGTTCTCTCCTCCTCTCCGCAGACGGAGAAGTACCGTGCAGCAGACTATCTGGTTTTGATAGGGGGGGGTCTTTTTTCTTTTAATACACAGGTATTCGTTGGTGTGTGTACCGAAAGCAGGTCAAGGAAATGCGCCTTGCATTTGAAATGGCTGGTGGGGAGTTTTGTGACAGTCCATAGTTTCTGGGGGAATTCAGTCTGCAGTCTCAGACCACTCTCAGAGACGACTCCCCCCACACCCGGACCAGCTTTGCTCTTATCATCGAGAGTCCTTCAGACCAGAGGAGCAGAGCTGTCCACCAAAGGCTTCCTCCCGGAGCTTTCGATGTTATAGAGCCACATGGCCTGGGCCTGGCAGTGCTTTGAAGACCTTGCTCTGGACTGGATATTCTACGGGAAGCCAGCACAGAGAGCGGAAGATGTGCTCCAGCGGCCTGTTGTTGAGCAGACAAGCCAGGGCATTTCTGTACGAGTCAGTTTCCTAAATGCTCCGGGGAGAGTATAATCCAGGAGCCCTGACCCCCCGCCCCCCCCCCCTTGCTCTAACCCACCAGACCCTACTCCCCACCCAGAGGGGAGAGTAGAACTCAGACAGCCTGACTCAGCCCCCTCCTGCCACTCCACCCCACTCCCCTTTCAGAGTCCTGACTTCCAGCTCCTTTCCCACAAACCCATTCCTCTCCTCCCCCCTCACGGCTAAAACCTCAGCCATGTCCAATGAGCCCATTTTCCTGCAGGCACATCACTGAGTTCAGTGGCATTGTGGATCCAGGGCACTGCCAGGCATCAACACCAAGGGCCTCCTTCCACCTTCTTCTGCACAGCAGACCTGCCCACCGCGGGACATCTCGCTCCACTCCTCATGCTCCGCTGCTCGTTCTGGGCCGAGTGTGTATTTTCTCACCCTTCCACAGGCAATTTAACCCAATCACAGAACGCTTCTCTCACTTAATGACCATCTGTTGGCTCAGGCCACAGGAATCTGCGCCATATGCCAAACTGCCTGCCAGATCCTAAGGCGAGATTCGCAGCTGGCTCCACCGTCCGCCAGATGACACCTCCCTAACCCCATCTCGCGCAAAACCAGCAGCCTGTTAACACAGATTTTCTGCTGATTAGCCCAATTTCCGTTCTGACACACTCCCCTCCGTTAAGCCCTGCCCCAGCAAACAGTGATGTAAAGCTCCTGTTACAGATTCGTCTCCAGTCAGTCAGCTCGCAGCACAAGTCCAGCTTCAGCTACGGGTGTCCAGCGCTCCAGGGGGCAGAGTTGAACCCCAAAGGACCACTACTGTTATCTACGCAGGGGTCATGCCCACAACGCCCCTCCCCTGCCGGCCACACACCTGCTCCAATGAACCTGGCAAGCTCTCCACCTAGCAACAATGGATCTTGCAACGTAGGCTAATGACTGGGCCCTGTGAGCGGCCTCCTTCATCTCAGTGGGCCGCCAGGCTGTCGTCACCAAGCTGGTCTCCCAGCACTGGGTCGTTTTGCTCACTGCGCTAGTGCACCTAGAATTTGAGGGGGCGCCCGGCTCAGAGTCAGTGTTGTGTGCGATCAGCCCGCACTTCACTTCACGGGCCCTGGCTTTACGTGAGGGGCAGGTTAGTAATACCGGTGAGGGAAAACCAACACGGATGAAAACCAGCGGAATCTGGCAACCCTGCGCATGGGCAACAGTGAACCAAACATCTCACAGGCCACACACAGAACCCAGATGGGCTGCAGGCAGCCCTCGGTCACAGGCCGCCCACCGCTGACCTAGCACCAACTCAGCCTTCTTTGCCAGCCAGATCACCTTGCAAGGAGCAAGACTAGAATTCCCTTTGCAAACATAACCTACCCTAGAGCACTTACCACAGCCTCCTCAGAGTTTCTTAACCCGTGGGTCACAACCCCCAGGTGGGGGATGCTGGGAGGAAGAATCATAAGGCGCCGAACATTTTATTACAATCTAAAGCAAAGAATCTCTCACCACTCCACTTCCCACATCCTCTGACCCTTCAAGGTCATGTATTCTCTGTTGAGTTCTCAACACACACACACACATAGAGAAATCAATTACTTAGCTAGGGATGTAAAATCTCGTTTAATTGGTTAACTGGTTAAACGTGATGTTTAAACATTTTACTGAGAAAGGGGGCATGGCTGGGCTGGAGCGGACCTCCCCACAGCAGCCCTTCTCCATGGTGGGCTTCCTAAGGGGCTGAAGCAGCTCTCCTGTCTGTGGTAGGCTGCGAGTTGCTCCAGACCCCACCAGTGAACTGATTACTGGTTAACCTTTCACATCCCTATTTACTACCAAAGCATTTGTTTGCACTTACATTTCTAGTAAGGGCAAAGGGGTTGCAAACATTTCTGACTGCTAAAACCGGACCCCCAAATGGCAAAGGTGGATAAATTCTGGTCAAGTGGAACAAACGCAGAACTAGGAGCCAAGGAATCTGGAGTCCTTGTCCTGGGTCTGCCACTGAGTTGCAGTGACTTCTGCAAGGCCCTTCTTCAGGCAGTGCCTCAGTTTCCCGCTCTGTACAGCGCAGATAAGGATCCTGACCAACTTCAGTAGAGGTGAGTTGGAAAAGGGAGAAGGCTTGACTCACTAGCACTGATAAAACCCTCTGAAGCTAGAAAAAGTCTGTGCTAACCACCACTCAGAGATTTGGTTTGCGCGCACACACTCAGAAACCTATGTTAATACTTCCTAAGGAGCTTCCACTTCCCACAATGCCTCAGGAACCTAGCAGACACAAAAATGTCTAGGCTTGCTTAAGTCTAGGGTGAGCTCTGGGGGAAGCAATCGCATCACAGAGTTTGCTGGGTCGACACACAGATTCTGGGCCCACCACACTCAATCCCACAAGTTAATGTACTCCCTTCCAAGGAGGCTGTGACTCACAGAGACTGCTTAAAATACTTCACAGATCATATGAAATTGAAAGATTCCTTGAAAGACTCCTTAGAGTCCAGTCAAACCGTCCACTTAAATAGTTTTTTAAAAGGCTGAAGCTCTGAAGAAACAGCTATGCAGTTCTTATGAAGATGACATCAAGGTATGCAAAATATCATACAGGTAACCAAGGCTACAGCGTACTTTGAGTGCCAGGAGCAGAATAAATAGTTCACCAGAGGCAGGTAGTCAGTACTTTACTTGTCAGATAACTCCATCTTAAAAACAGGCTAAAAAAAAGTTAAGACTGATACAGTATTTGAAGAGGGGGAAAAGGGAAGAACATTACAGTTTCATCAATTCTGTAGAAACTCAAGTCTCAGACCAACCCATAACTGAAAGGGCTCTATGGAAATTCAGCAAGATCTCAAACAGCCTGAAAGCTGTTCACCCATTGCATGCCCCGGCTATGAAAGGTTTGAGTGGAGATAAGAGTACAAGCGTATCACAAGCGAGCTGCTCTGACAATACACACACCAGGATTTCCACCAGGAATGTGGGACATGAGACAGGCCTAAAGCAAGGGAACTTTATGGAAGGACTTTTAGTACACTGCCTTTGAATCAGATTAGCGTAAGCCATGCCCACCTCTTATACTGCCAAAGCCATGGACTGCACGCGCTGTAATATCCTTTCTTATGAACAGCAGGACCAATATAAATGTAAAGCACTAAAGGGTGTCTTTAGGGAGGCAATAGAAAGCTATGATAGGCCTGTGCTAAGTTAGCAAATGAGGTCTGCCGGAAAGCCAGAAGTTGCAACCTTCCTTGGGCAACAATCCAGAAACCCTATTATGCAAAGGTTTCTTTGCTCACGTGGCCACGTAGGCCATTTACACTGTACCATTGTTGAGCAGCCAATTCATGCACCGCTGCACTGGTGCATGAGAACGCAGGTGAAACTCACCTAGCAATAAATGTCCACTGCTAAATCCATCGACTTAAGGATGGGTAAGCGAAGCAGTTAAGATGGTCTGAGGAACTCTTGATGTGAAATGCCGCACTGTTTGCCTTGGGTAATAGTATCAGGATCCCGACTATCTGAGAACCACACAGTCTTTACCTGTGAGGTAGGGCGGCGCTATTAGGCCCCTTTTACGGATGTGGGACCGAAACCCAAAGAAGCTAAGTAACGTGCCCAGGTTCACACAAGAGGTTTGGAGTGGAGCAGGACTTGAAGCAAGGTCTCCAACAGCCCTGGCTATTGCACCCTTGCAGCTGATGTCACATTCCCTCTTCCATGCTCTCTCCTTGTCCCTTACAGTCTCAGTTTCCCAGGATGCTCCCGTGGTGCTTACAGACACAGAGGCAGAGCTGCGATTGTGCTTTTAAGCATTCCCTACCCACCATTATGAAATGTGGGTGGGCAAGAGGATTTGTGGTGGGATGCGGCTGGAGAGCAAGCCCAACTCCCTTGAAGAGCCATGCCCATGTGTTGCTGTTGGTTAGCAACAGTATCACTGGCTGGCTTCAGAACGCAATGCATTGCTTGCTTCCTAGCCCACACGGTAACTGTCTCTTTTCCAAACAGGAAAGGCTGAGGTCAGAGCTGGCTGGATGAATCCGAAAGCTAAGCAGCTGCAGGGAAGTTAGAATGTGAGCACAGCCAGCTAGTATCATCTCCCAAAAGATGATCTCAAACCATTCGCCCCAACACATGCCCTTGTTAAAAGCCTCCCAATCTCCTTTCCATCATTCTTCATTAACCACTCTCGTGGGTAAAGTCAACATCAGCTCCCTCAATAGCAAATCCCTCCTCATCCCTGATGCTTTCCCAGATATCCCTGGAGTTTCTGAGACCAAGCAATGCTCCCCTGGCCTGTTCTCAGCACACAGAAGTAGAGAGGATGGGAAGTGACCTGACTCTCAGTGCCTCAGTTTCTCAATCTGAGGCTACTGATACAGTCTCATGGGGAAGTTACAAGGCTTAACGAGTTAATGTTTATACAGGGCTTCAAGGAGGAAGAGCACTATAGAAGTATGTGAGGCAGTATACACCCCTCCCCCCCAAGTACTCAAGCACCTCCTCCTTGAGATTCTCACTGCTTGGGTTATGGAGCTGGCATCTGTCACAGTCAACACTGCATCCAAATTCTCTCCCCCATGCCACTTCCAGCTTCCTTTTCTTGCTCAGTTGCTCTGCTGTTGAGTCACGACTCTCTTCCCACCCACCAAGGCCTCATCCAATCTGCTACCCTTCCACCCGCACCCCAGACACACCTTGCTTTTATCAGCAATTCCCTTTCCTGTTCCACTCATAATCCCTCCTACACAGCTCTCCTCAGCCTCGCCCTCCAGACTCAAGTCACAGTGCTGCTCTTCTAGTAGCTTAATCTCATTTAACTCCCCAGCCCTCTTCGGTTTTACAATCCCTCGCCTGGTACCTAGAACTCAGTCCCATCCATTGCCTTTCAGGCCACTGCTTGCATCAAACCCTGCTGTGTGGTCTGGTTCAATTCCCCTTGCTACATAGACCAGCTATTATAAACCAGCCCATATACAAGCAGGTACCCTAAAAAGCAGAAGTTTATGCCTTACATCCATAGCAGCCATTTGGATCCTGAAATCTGA